TTAGAATATCTCACATCGAAAATTTGATAATAACAAGATTTAGTGTATTTAATACATGTCTTAATACTAAATGAAATTTTCATTGAACAGTATTATACTTTTTTGTGCGTTATCATTAAATTATATATGTTTTTTTTTTGGTTTTTATAATAAATACAGTAATGATCACTGCTGGCAAGTTTTATTTTCAAAATATTTCATTCTTTATATCACTGTTAAAATCAGACTTGACAAATTCTTCAATTTTTGATAGGTAAGTCTAAGTTTTCGATGATAAAATTGCAGTGATTACCGATTGGTATTTTTAAAAATATTTTATCTTTGCTTGTTCTATTGTTAAGTAACTTTCATAGTTTGATTTTACTATATCTCACATTTAATAAGCTTGTATTGGAATAAACTCGTAAGTTTCTTTATCGACACTAAAATGAAATTATTTTTTTCTTCGCTAATTTAAGAAGAATATAAAATTATGAAAATAAAGGAATGTTGACAACGTTCATATTATTATATACTTTGAAAAATAAGAAAATTACTGTATTATAATATTCAACCTTTGATTTATCACTTGGAAAACTATTATGTCAAAGTTTTGAATCAAAAATCCCATTTTTTATATAATTTTCTTAAATTCATTTTTCAGATTATTCGATGACATAAAGAGAAATATGTTCTATCAATAGTTGTAAAAGAGCTCCAACATGTTTGTGTCATCATTGTAAAAATAATGTATGTTCCAGACATTTTAATGCACATCAAACATAAATCAATAATGAATTATTACCACTCACTGATCGTCTCAATCAACGTACGTGAGTGTTATTTTTATGATTATAGAACTAGATTTTTTTTTGAATTTTAGTTTTAAGATGAGACTACAGATTAAAGAAATACAAAATGATCCATTATCTATGTTAAAAATGTGGCGCGATAAGAAATATGAAGAAATTAATCGAGAATATAATCGAAAAATAAGACAGCAGGAATAAGAAGTTTCATAAACTATAGCAAATATAGAAGAACTTATTAATGAAGGTGAAGCATCTTTCGATCAAGTCAAACAATTGAAGAACAAGATTGAATTTATAGAAAATCAAATGAATAAATTAATGACAAATGAACAGACGCAAATTTTATCTGAGAATACTATTGATAAGTTAAATCTTGTTAATAATTATGTTCAATTTGATCGCCGAAAATGTTTAGTTAAAAGAAAAATAAGTTGTCGAGGCAGCAATCTCTATGCTTTGGAATGTGAGATAGCACTAACAGGCTATGATGGATTGTGCCCACAATGTCGAGATGTTCATGTTTCACTGCAACGCGATCAAGGTTTTTACATATCTTGCGAAACTCTTCATAAAAAGGTCGCACAAGAGCTTGAAAATCAGACATAGAGTATGAAATTGTTTTTTTGAAATTTAATTTTTCCTCCGGTGATAATTGAATGATGTTCCAATAACATTTATTTGAACATTTTTGAATTAGATATATTATCTATAAAGGATAATTTTTATAGAAATATAAAAACTTAATAAATGCTCATATATATTCTAGAACAAATAGAACTTTAATGATTATTTTTCTTTTACTTTATTTTCGATTTGAAACATTATGCAGCTGAAATTCAAACATATAAATATATATATTGACGCGAAAGTGTCAAAACCTTATGTCGAAGAACGGACAGTTATTATTTAAATTCTAAAATATTGACGTTTATTTATTTGAAAATAGAGTTTTTTGTACAACGCATAATCTGATATAATTAAATTTATAAAAACTCATTATCTATTTCTAGATTTTTGAATAATAACTTACATTCTACAACAACAATGGATTGATCTAACACTTTCTCCATGTATTTATCAAAATGATGATAATCTTCTTGAAGTTTTTTTTTTTTGTGTATTATATAATAAAGATATCACTTTATCAATATCGTAAGTGGCAGCTCATTGGTATTTATCATCTTAATTATAAATTTTGTGGAACTCACGTATATTTTCGAAGAAAATAGTGACTAAGTTTTAAGTTCGAGGTTTGGCGGCTCCTCACCTCCCCCTCCCCTTACAGGCAGGCTCCCATTACAGATCATAGCAACGAGGCCCCCATTACAGACAATCCTCCATTACAGACTTTAGCAATGGAGAATAAAAGGTGTCAGATTTTCTAGAGTTTGAAAAATTGCTCAAGTTATAATTTTGAAGATTAGTCAACATCATTGTTTGTGAGTTGATTAACATATATATATAATAGTGCATAAAATCTGCTATAGACATCATGAATATGTAAAATAGACTTATTTGCCGATTCAATGATTATAATAATAAGAATATTAAATTAAAAAAACACGAATAAAAAAAGTAAAAAATAATGAGCAAATAGCAATAATGCAAACAAAAAATAGGGTGCCCGTAGAAAAAAAAATTCTATTTTAAATGTAAAAATAAATAATAAATTCTTGCTCTTGTTTTCGATTATTAGTTAAAACAACTACAATCGATGAGAAATTTTTCAGTTTACGGATGATGTATTAGGATAACACGGTTGAAAGATATACGTGAGTTCCATATTTCAGCTTCGAAGGAGCTGCGCTAACAAGCTTTCTGATATGTTTTTAACATATAAATAATCTCTATTTTTACTAACAGTACTTGAAATCGATTCAATTGGTTTAGATAAATTCGACTAATATATTTTGTTATCTTGTTGGATATCTGAATGAATGTATTGAAATCCATTATGATAACAAGTATAAACTATTAATTGATTTATCCAATTTGATTATCATTTAATATTATATTTCATCATGTTCATTTAAACAATAGATTGTTGTTCATCTTAATTTATTATTAATTTTTCAACAATCAACTCTTAATTAATATTCTATTTTTATTTCCATTAAAATATCATTGAATTTTCTTTGAAGAACTTTATCATATTCCAGAAATTTTATCTTTATTCAGATATGAAAAATATTATTTCGTATACATAAATAAAAATCAAATGTAAAATCTAGATTGTTGATTCAATTACTTTAATTAAATTGTACTTTATTTAAATGTTTTACTGCTTTTATGTTTCGAAATGATTATCAACACAATGGATCATTCGTAAGACTGCTACTATATCAAACAGATAAATATATATAGCAAGGATTGTATTTTATATAATTGTCTCGAATCAAAATTGAATCTGCATGATTATTATCTATAAATTGAAAAATAACGAGAAAATTCTGTTTTTTTGTTGTTGTATATTCTATAAATAAAATTTATTTCTCAAATACCATATATATATATAAGTAATATTTTTTTTGTTCTTTTTAGATGCATTCATCAACGTTTTTTCGTGATAGTTTAAAAGTATATAATTTATTATGATTTATTTTTCATGTAAGACACGAATGTTTCTCTTTTTAGACTTCACCGTTTGTCTCATTGATGAGCAAACGTACGTTTGATGAATCGTAAGTTATCTCACATAAACAAAAGATTAAAAAAAAATAATAATATAAACAATTATTTATTTGATAGAAAATCTCCACCAAGTCCTTTATCACCTGGACAACAAAAACGTGTTCGTTTTCTTGTTGATAATAATAATGATCTATCGAGTATGAGTTTTCTTAGATAAGTTAAAATAAATCATAGTTCATTTTCTATTGTAGTTGATGAACATCAATCATCGATTTTATTTCGACAAGGAAATATTGGAGGACGTACTGGTAATATTAGTGGATTTGATGAAATGGAAAATAGTCGTCGAATAACATCGAATTTACTCTTTAGTAATACTAGTTCTCCGTATGATTTTGGATTAATGACACAAACTGGTGGTAGTATTGATCAACCGATAGACAATGTTAATGTTTCAAATGATAATTTTACTTTTATTCAGACAACTCAACGAACAAAGTAAGAGTTTTAGAAATTTATAAGAAACATTCAACGTGAAAGATTTATTTTTTCTTCAAAGAAATGATCTTATGATTTTTTTTTTTTGAAAATTTTATTCTGTTTGTAATAAATCGATTGTAGATCTTAAATTTTAATAAAAATTATGCCCATTTTATTTTTATTATTCTTTTTTTTGTTGTTATTGTTGTTAAATATATAGTCTTGCCAATGAAAGTGGAAATGATGGGACTTGGTTGACTGTGTTTGGCTATCGTACGAATGCCGAAGCTCAAATATTGATCGATGAATTTAGTCGTTTTGGAATAATAGAAAAATATGTGGTATGAACAATTTGTTTCTATTTTATTTTATTATTTATCTATTCAGATTGTTGATACATCGAATATATTTCATGTTAAATTTGCAACTCATCTTCAAGCTCAACGTGCTCTACGAAAACATGGTCACGTTTTTGGTCAAATAATGGTTGGTGTGAGATATTGCACTGATAAAGTAAATTATTTGTTTGTTTATTAAATAATATATTATCACATATAGGATATTATTGGACTTAAACCACAAAGTAATGTTAATGTTTATCTTGAAAATCCTTTTCTTATACGACATCGACATCATTTAGGCATATTACCAGTATGAATAAACAAATATTTTCATTTTATAATTCAATTTAATTTGTATCTATTTTTTTTTCTTTATAGTCTGCACCATTAACAGTTCAAAATTGATTCCATTTATTATTTGTATATATATCATTGTCAATCATCCATAGAATTTATATCAATTCTCAACTTTATTATTATTATTTTTTTTGGTTATGTTTGCCTATTATTCATTTGCTCAGATAGTACAGTTCTTATTTTCTTATTTGTTTGCTTATCTTTGCTCTTATTTCATTCTTAATTAAAATAGCATGATCAATAAAATAAATCATATATATATACATATCTGAATATCTAACTAACAAGTTCTTTGTTTTTATTTTGATCGAATAAATCAAATTACTAATCGTTGCTTGAACATGTTGTTCATATGATTTTTTGAATATGATCATCAACATGAATATTGAAATAACTGAATCTAAAAGAATCTTAATGCTAAAAGCTGTTAGATAAAAAAATATAGAAACTACTTTTTTCAATTTCACGTATTCGAATATCAATTATATATCGTCACTGTTAGTAGACAACGATATGATCATTACGATTCAGAAACCATAGCGAACTAATCATCTGTTCAATGAGCTTAATTTATCGTTTAAGAATAGTCACTGACTTGTTGAGCTTTATCAGCAAAATTGTAATTGGCAAATGTCGAACCTTATCAGAAGAACATCAATATACACCCACTATGAAATGGAAAGTTTCGGACATGGAATAGCGTCATATATGGAGTGTATCTTAATTTTATACAATATGATTTACGATCGAAGAAATCGTTGCTATAATTATCTTACTCATTTAGTTGTCGTCTTCTTTAGCTCTTTTCATCTTTCATGAGATGAATTCAACTAATAGTGACACTGTCTAATGCATAATAGTATTTGAACTGTTATATTAACGTAAGCTAATCACAAACAAGATATTCAATTTTAGACGAAAAAGATAAGCTTATTTTTATACGATATTTAATGTAGTTTACTGATGAGAATACCAATCCTTATTCATTCTATCGAAATGTATGAGAGAACTTTGTTGATTATTCTGACTTAAACAACTGCATCCCTGAAAGTTATTCTATTTGACCAAGTAGATAATGCCCTAACTGAAATTTTCATTGAGTATTAAACTAGTATTCTGTACCTTCAATGCGACAGAAATAGCTATTTTACAAAAGTAAATTTTCTTTGCTTCACATGTTTTAATCATTGAAAATATGTATTTCATCAAGACCAACCAATTAAATATTTCTATTCTCTTCCTTGTCAGTTTCTACACCACCACATACATTACACAGTTTCTACTTTAAATGCAACATATACTTTTCAAGTTTTACTTCAATTTATTGTTATGACATGTTTTCAAATAACAAAAAAGAAAAAAACTTAATGATTAAATATTAGAAATTATACAGTTTGTGTTTCCCCTAGGTCTTCATCCATTTAAACAAGAGGATAGCTTGCCATTGTTGCAATACCAC